ATTGTATTTAAAAGGTATTTGTTCTTATTCTATTTAATGAGTATTTCAATACTGTGTATTACTTCTTAACTCAGTGTGTATAGTAATTTCATGTTATATCCTTTTGGTAGAATTAGGATTTTTCTACCTAACTATCAAGATTAAAATGTAATATTATTATTATTTTTATTATTAACACTAAACATTTACAATGATCTGTATTCTGCTTTAATTATTAATAAAAATTATTCTGACTGGTTAGCAATAGTTGTCAAAAAGCGTTTTTACTGGAATTGTTAGGGAATAGCCTTATGTGCTTGTTGCAATATTCATTTAAAATATACAAAGAATAATTTAACATAAGTCCACTGAGCAATGCTCTGCGTAGGTACACACTCACTAGCTAGAAAACATGGTAATGGGAACAAAATCATAATTACTCTGCAGTGTGTATTTTCAAACATTTTACAAAATATTTTAACACATCAGTTTTTTTTTAATTTCTTTGAGATTGTCACAGATTAATATTTTGTAAAGTTACTAGGCAAACCTTCATGTTTACATTACTAGGTTAACAGCAACCTACATTTATAAGAAGTCATATTTAGAATATGAATAATACAGACTGACAACTTATTTTATCGGATTAGAACACTGCTAGAGACTGAAGACATATTTTCTTGTTGACAGACTCAGATTATACTGTAGGAATGTATTGCTTTTTAAAGCTGGTGTTATTCTATAAATATGTATTTTAATAAGGTATATAACTTCTCATCTTAGTGCATTTAGCAACACCATACATCTAAGACATAATTATTGATGATAATATTAATAATAATAATAATAATAATAATAAACCTTATAACAACAAGATAGAAACAATGTTTCTAGTTATATACCATACAAATAAAAATGAATATGCTAAACCTATAAATAATATTATTATTAATAATAATAATAATAATAATGTTGTTGTTAAAAATCACATTTGCTAATATTTAAAAATGTTAAATGTTAATGCTTAATGCTAATTGTCCAAGTAAACCATAATAATAAAGATAATATGCTTTTTTATAACTGTATTTCAATGCATATACTAACAAAATATTATGTGTTAAGTCTTGCATAATGCCTGTCATTTAATAAATATTAGTCCACTATAAATTAGCACATTTGTAAAAATTTATACAAATATTAGTCCACTAAATTAGCACATTTATAAAAATATCCTAGAAAACGTACTAAATGTTTACACATTGCAAGACTAGAAAATTTATAAATGTGGTAAGATTTGATAATGCTTGCGTGATGTGCCTAGAAAAAAAAAGTTCACTATTTAAGTTTACCTTTTTCAATCACATCCCTGTTTACACATTGCTAACTGCTTTTCTGTGTAAAATTCTTTGGAATCTACTCAAACACAATATCACTAGAATAAATAAAGCATACTAGTTATTGATTATTTTTATGTATTTAACAGGTAACAATAGTTTGATTTCATATCATAACATACATTTGTCTAATATTGGAAATACAAGCTAATACAAACAGAGAATAACTTGAGAACAAAAACAAGAGTAGAACTGGAAAAATACATTAAATAAGAACAAAACTTGGGAATGTACCAAGGATAACTCTGCATGATAAATTGTATCGTTAAATTGAAATAACCTGCAGTGACATATTCCACACACATACAGCTAAACAATTTAATCAAACCTGCAGTTGCTTGTGAGTAAAATATCTTAGAAATTTGAGAAGCTAGTCTTAATTATTTTTCTCTGATGGATAGTTTAAAATACACTCAGCTAAAATGGCCTATTTTTCTGTATAGCACTAACTGTCCAGCTATAAGGTTTAAAAGACACAAATGATTGGTACTGTTTAATATGATCATCAGAATTTACTGCTAGCATAATACTTCATTAATACTTCATTGGAATGAATCGCCAGAAAGATATTCACCTTTTACTTATACAGTTGTTTATTCACTACATTGCTCTTGAATAAAGGTCTGGTGGGTGATTATCTCAAGATTCGGGCAGCACTTTCCAGTGCCATTCATTCTGCCCACTAGCTGCACAGATTGGGCACATACTGAGCTACTCACAGATTGATACAAGGGTGTGCTTTGCTCTGTAGCAAAATTATTAGTGCTCCTCATCACTTTTGGGAACTGCCATCTCCTTTAAAATCAGCATCATCAGCATATGAAAAAGAGTATATGACACAAAAATGTACATAATCAACAATGAATAATTTCAAAATGTATTAATATCTAATATTGGACAAAAAACAACAACTTTACCTATAGCAGCCTATTTACTCAGCCTGCAGAATGATGACATTGCATCTGCCCAGGTATTTAAGGACTAGGTATTTCAGGCTAGGCGTACAGAATTCTTTCCAGTAGGAAAATAGGCATTCTTTACTGTCTGTCATATATGACATATATTGGATCTGTAAATGTATAAATATATATGTAGAGAATGTATTTATAAACTGCTTATAAGAATACCTTGCGTGTTCTGACCACATATTATCAAAGCATCCATGCATTCCATCATATAACATTCGGTTCATAAATATCAGCATTTCAATGATAAAAGGATATATATTTCTTAATATTTGCGTATAATAAAAGTTTATTGAATTTTAGGAGTGTGTTACGTTTTTCTGCTGTCTAGTATTTGAATCTGAAAATGTTGAACTCTATAGTGAGCAACATTATAATTAGTATATAACAATACATATATATAGATATATATATAGATATATATATATAAGCATTATATTTTTTTCTCTGCATGAAAAAAGACATACAGTGCATAGACTAGACACACCTAACATTACCAGTGTGTTTTCATTTTATACAGGAGGACAGGATAATAATATGCACCACCTTATGCAGTTTTTCTACCTTTCTACCTTTCCATTCAATAATAAATATGTTATAATACCAAAATACACACAGCATGGGCTAAACTGGTATTCTTTGGCGTTGCTAAATGAATTATAGTTATATTAGTGGACGTTAGTAAATCTTTCAATCTATAATAATTGAACAAAAAGTCCATGTTGGAATGGGCAAGGCTGAAAAATACAATACACATTCTTTAATGTACACATATGTATGTGTGCTGATCATACTTAAAGATGTGCATTCTACCACGTATGTTTGGTATCATATGGAGATTACATTTTTGTTATCACTTTGTGCTTTACTGTTGAAGTTTAACTCCTCTCTGCAGCATTCTCCATGGACCCTAATGAGGAAAATCTAGCAAATCCTGCTGAATAATTTATACAGTACAGAATATCTATGCAAATCAGGTGGTGATCCTTGTATAATAAAGTCACGTGGTGCAGCCAGCCAGACAGGCAGCAGTCTGAACAATTTGCATGTCATAGCTGGCAAGATTAACCATTCTCCACTAAACTGGGAGGTGGCTGACCATGGGGCACCGTGTGGCAGCTTTCCAAATACTGGGGACAATGGTAGGAAAGGAAAATTATGCTCATAAATGGTTATCATAAACAACATTATAATACGATCATATATTATTTTAACCCAAACTGTAAAAAAACAAGATACACCAATCTATGGTATACTGGTAATTAAATTCATATTGCATTATTCTCCTTATATGTTAATGATTAATAAAATAGCAATGTTCACAAGCTAAATACATGGATATCTGGGAATTGTAGGTGTTGAACAGTTGCATTCTGGATCATAATGTAAATGTGCAGATGACGATGTAATTAATAAGAGGTGACTGGCAGGGAAGTGTGACAAAAGATGGACTGGCAAACTGGCATCTATGAACTAAATAGTCATTGCAGTCATTTCTAATTGATGAGTAGTATAAAATAATCAAAAACCTATTATGTGTGATAAATGAACTAAATCAAAGCGTAAATAAAACAAAGTACTGCAAATGGCAGTGAACCCTATCATTATTTTCTAAATTTTCTTAATGTGAGTCTTTGATCTCATAAGTGACACATTTTGAAGTGTAAGATGTGTGGTCTCAGAAAATAAGGAGTATACAGAATTTCAGTATACCATATGCATTGTACAAGGTATGTGCTTATAGGTTTAACAATAGGTAATGCAACACTGCATGAATGTGTGAAGGCAGACCTATAGATAGATAGATAGATAGATAGATAGATAGATAGATAGATAGATAGAGAGATAGATATTCATCTTTTCTGTACATAAGCAATTATGACAACATTCACAAATGTTAGTCTTAAATATTCCTATGACAGGGCTGCAATCTCTTAGTCCTAGCAATGCATAGCAATTACATGTAATCTTAGTAACTCTGTACTTACTGGACAATTTTTTCACTTTAAATATTCTACATATTACAGAGAGTATGCCACTGCATGTGTCGTATTCTGTGGCCCTGTTCCCTACATGTCCAACAAAGAGGTAAAAAAAAGCCTATATATACAGCCAGTATAACCTTATAGAGGATACAGATACACAAAGGAGCCTTACCTAAGATGCTATAAGCTCAGTATATCTACAAATATAGCTATAGGTTTGCCTACGTCATACTGGACATCCATGCTATGAAGGAGTACATTTCACAATTTTACAACTGCTTATAATTGTACTGACTAAATTTAAATTTCCATTGCCTAAAAGAAGATGAAATTATGTGATTACTCAGTATATGTAAAATAAATGGGAAGCTTTGTATGTGTGTGTTTTATGTATATATGTATATATATATATATACATACACACACAGACACATTTTTACATTTGTTTTTAAGATATTTACCACTATATAGCAGGCAGACTTATATAAGCGCCTAAAAGTCATACTAAGCAATAAATCCAGGTGCATGTGTAAGACGTTCAGCAGAACACTAGTGTACGGAGACTTGGAATATATCTCTATAAATCCCAGTTTATCCTCTTTCCAGTTCAATACACACAGTGGACAGGTTAATGAGGATGCCACCTCCCTGTGAGAAGAAAAATGCATTAAAATGTGTATCCAGCTGACCTATCCTGGGGTTTGACGTCAGGACGCAGCACTGCGTGTAGGCAAGTAGGAGAAACTTTCCAAAATGGATGTGCAGCTTATCCCAGTGAGGTATGGAGAGCTGGCTTCAGGAGTTCGTGAGGGAGACTGGCTAAGGGGTAGGGAGCCCAGAAGCCTGCCCTTCCAGGGCTTGGGGGGGGGGGGTGATGCGTGTGTGGGGGGGGGTTAAGAGG